TTAAAAGTTAATCCACGTCGGTGGGAAACGGGCGCGTAAATTGCGCGCGCGCGCGCGTCTGTTCGCTTGGAGCGCAGAAAGTGCAGCGTCGGCACAGATAGCTGAGAGCGCGCTCGCGGCTCGCGTTAAGCTGCGTTCGGAAACATCACCCGGGTGTCCCCGCGTATCATTTTATCCTTATTTAATATTCGGCGAGTAACAAGAATAAAATGATCCACTGAGGTACCCGGGTGATGTTTCCGAACGCAGCCTTACACACCGCAATCTGCGCCCGCGGAGTACAGCTCGGCGCGCGCGTTTCGCGCTACGTACATATCTCTCTCTCTCTCTCTCTCCCTCTCTCCCTCTCTCTCCGTGTCCACTTTCGTCTATCCTGCAGTTCTCGCGATAGGAAAGCTCAGGTTACGCTTCCCCCGAGCCGCTTAAATGTGATTGCGAGGGGGAGTCTCTCGCCGTTCTCCGCCGTGTTACTCGGACGCGGGCATTCGACAATGGTGAGTGCACGACCACGCTGCGGCTCTGACGTTTACACTTAGGTTAGCAGGCGCGAATAAACGGGAACGCAATAAAGCGAAACTCGGGCTCGGGTCGCGTAGGTCGCGACGAAGTTGCTCGTCGCCTTGCGAGTTCGCCTTTCGAGCGAGCTACGGGTTTGACGCGGAGACACGGCGTGACGCGGGTCGGACAAGCGTTGCATTACGTTCGCTTCATGTTCCAGGACGTGTCGGACGGCATGGACAAGTCGTGGGATCATCCGTGGAGCACCGAGGAGATGCGGAAGAAGAGGAGAGAGTGGAGCCTGGCGGGCGATGTCGGGCTCCTCAAGCATCTTCAGCAATTCTCCGAAGTATGATCTGCCGCGTTGCTCTTGGCCAAATGTGTTGGATTGGACGGTGGACGAATTGCTTTAGCAGCTTGCGCCGTCTTCGCGAATAGCCGCCTCTGGGTTTCTTCTCCCGGGGATCAATTCTGTATTTTACTTACGCTGCGGTGAAAATGCTGATAGTTAGCAGCTTTGTCTCCTAACTGTCGGCTTGGAAAGAGACAAAGCTGCCCATTTTTAGCATCTTCGCTACATTGCGAGATACAGAATTGACCCTCCGACACTTTGTCGTTTTTTAAAAATTGAAATTGTTGATTTCAATATCAGCAGAGTCACTTGTTACTTTATCGACCATTGGTCAGTCGCGTATCTGAATTGCATCAATGGTTTCAAGAATTGTCAGAGTTATAAATCCTCAAAGATCGACAAGGAATCGGGAGAGTATAATTGAACAGGAGATAGCGCTGGCAAGATGTTTAAAGCCTTGTGTCCACGATCCAAGAACTGTGTCCAAGCTCTAGTTCCAAGAAGTTAAAAGATACAGGTTGATTGGTTGCATATTGCTTGGAACTAGAACCTGGACGCAGTTCTCGAATCGTGGACACAAGGCTTAAGAATTGCACTTTGCAGCGAACGTTTGTATTCAGCAGTTGCACCTTGATTTCGCGTGAAATTCCAGAACCTGGTGTCCAAGGCTAACAAGACTCAAGCGGCTCTGGACACGCTGACTACGCAGCTAAAAGAAACTGAGATACTGGTGGATAATGTTACAAACACATCCTTGGCTCTGGCCAACACTCAGTTCATCGAGAGCCGCGTGCAGGAGGATGACATTGAGATTAAAGAGAGCTCCGGGGAGAAGCAGGAGGTAAGCACTTGTTCTCGACGTGACAATTGACGTTCACTTTCAACAAATATCTTGGGAGAATCCGTGTCTTTCAGCGTTTGGATAAAATAAATTTTTACATCTTATCAGAATGCAAAGACTCAGCATTCGGCGCCGGAGGATCTGCTGGCGAGCATAAGCGAGAGCGTTAAGCAAGGTTTAAACATAATGGACGAAAAGTACAAAGTAATGGATGTGGCTTGCAGCGACAGTGAGGAAGAGGACGAGGACGGCGCGGTAGTATTCAGGTTGGTGTCTTCACCCTCGTCGCCGTCATCTGCAACTCGCTGAAATTCATTCGGTTTACAGTGTCATTGTGGGACCCAACGATCCATATCAAGATCGGCCCTTGCCGTACGTTATCGGCTCCGACAAGTGGATAGCGTCGAATAAGATAGGCTTAGAGAGCAGTAGCAGCGAATCTGAACAGGCTGACGAGGAGAGGGAGGACTCGGAGAGCGAGAAGGAGGATACGCGGAAGGTGTTTGGCGGCCGACACAATCCGGAGATCAACATAGCGAGACTGTCGTCGTCCTCCAGCGACTCGGATAACTATGACCACAGCAATAACATATCTTACGGGAATAACAAGGCGGACGTTGTGTCTCAGAATAATATAAATTCTGCCTCGGAGTCTGCCACACCTAATACCGCGTCGAAGGTAATTAATAAAAAATAAACTTTTCAAATGGCTCTTATATTAAATAAAAGAAATAGACAGATTGCTTAAGGCTTGCGTTGCTAGAACTTGGACCAAGTTCTAG